TCGGTCTCTAGAGGCTTTCAATCGTTCACGGATTGAACGATTTTCTCTGTCGTTTTCCCGATGATTTCCGGACCGGTAAGAGTAATGTCGGAAGCTTGCCCCCTTGCTAGTGGTATCACCCACCTCAGCCCAGCACAGAGGGGATCTGCACTTTCGGCCGTAGAGGGCTTCAAATGGAGCAGCCTTGATGTCGTGTGATAACTGTTATTATAGGAAAACTCGACAAGGGGTAAATGAGTATCCCATGCCTTCCCAAAGTCAATCACGCAGGCTCGCAACATATCTTCCAGGTTTGGATGGTCCTCTCACTCTGTCCGTCGGTCTGAGGATGGTAGGCTGTGCTCATGTCTAGCTTGTTCCTAGGGAATGTTGTAGTGATTGCCAAAATCTTGAGGTAAACCTACTATCTCTATCGGAGATAATGGACATAGGTACACCATGTAGCCGTACGATTTCCCTAATGTATGTTCTCGTAATTCTCCATCTTGTCGGTTTCTTTGATAGTAGGAAGTGTGCAGACTTGGTCAATCTATCGACGATGACCCATATGGTATCAAGTCCACCCGTGTCTTGGGCAACTTGGTTATGAAATCCATAGTGATCCGCTCCCACTTCCATTCGGTCTCGGATCCTGGTACTGGTTGCACAACTTAGCTTTATAAGCACCGGATGTCTCGGAAGTGTTGTGCCGCCTCGGTCATGACCAAGTCTCGGAAACCACCGTGTTTCGGTGTCCAGATCCGATCCATGAAATATAAGGCTCCGTCACCCTTGGCTTCTAAATTCTTGTCCATTCCTCTGAGGGATTCACTTGTCACCTTTTCAGGTTTCATGGCTTCAAGTTGGGCCGCCTGAATTTGATTAGACAAGTGTGAATGGATCGTTATTGACAATGACTTGATTTTGCGACCAGAATATTCCTTCCGACTTAGGGCGTCTGCTACTACGTTGGCTTTACCCGGATGATAACGAATATCGCATTCGTAATCACTGAGTAGCTCGACCCACCGTCTGTCTCATGTTGAGCTCCTTTTGATCGAAAATGTGTTGTAAACTCTTGTGGTCGGTAAAGATAGTGCTCTTCGTTCCATACAAGTAATGTCTCCAGATCTTCAGAGCAAACACCACTGCTCCTAGTTCAAGATCGTGGGTCGTGTAGTTAACCTCGTGTGTCTTCAACTGTCTCGAGGCGTAGGCGATGACCTTACCTCGCTGCATCAGAACACACCCGAGCCCTTGGTTCGATGCATCGCAATAGACTACGAAGTCTTCTATCCCTTCGGGAAGGGATAGTATTGGTGCGGTGCACAAGGCTCGTTTGAGCGTTTGGAACGCTCTTTCTTGTTTCTCTTCCCAGTCAAAGGCCACGCCTTTCTGGGTCAGGGTTGTAAGAGGTTTCGCTATTCGGGAGAAGTTCTGAATGAATCTGCGGTAGTAGCCAGCAAGACCTAGAAATTGACGAATTTCTGTCGGCGTCTTAGGTGCTGACCAGTTCTCAATGGCTTTAATTTTGGATGGGTCCACGTGGATTCCCTCTTCGCTTACCACGTGTCCTAAGAATTCGACTCTCCGGATCCAAAATTCACATTTCTTGAACTTCGCATAAAGCTTCTCTTTTCGTAATGTCTCTAGAACTTGTCGCAGGTGATCGCCATGCTCTTTCTTACTTCGGGAGTAGATCAGGATGTCGTCAATGAAAACGATGACGAACTGATCCAAATAAGGTCGGCATACTCTATTCATCAGATCCATGAAGACTGCGGGCGCATTGGTCAATCCGAATGGCATCACCACGAACTCGTAATGTCCGTAACGAGTTCGGAAGGCTGTCTTCGGCACATCCTCCTCTAGCACTCGTAACTGGTGATATCCGGATCTCAGATCAATCTTAGAAAAATAGTTCGCCCCTTGCAGTTGGTCGAATAGATCATCTATGCGAGGCAGAGGGTAACGATTTTTTGACCGTTAGTTTGTTGAGTTCTCTGTAGTCAATACACATACGGAATGATCCGTCTTTCTTCTTAACGAACAAGACCGGTGCTCCCCAAGGTGAGAAACTCGGTCTTATAAAGCCCTTGCTGAGTAGTTCGTTAAGTTGACCAGAGAGTTCCTGCATCTCAGCTGGTGCTAAACGGTAGGGCGACTTGGCTACTGGGGTAGCTCCTGGGACTAAGTCGATTCTGAACTCGACCTGTCGTTGCGGAGGTAACCCGGGTAGTTCTTCTGGGAAAATGTCGGGGAAGTCGCTCACTACAGGGATGTTCTTTAGTCTTTCGTTTCGAGGCTCGTGTCGACGACGTGAGCAAGGAATGCATGGTATTCCTTACGCAGATACTTCTGTGCTTGAATACTTGATATGATGCGAAGACTTGCACCGGGTTTGTCGCCATAGACTATAAGAGTTTCGTTAGACGGAAGGTTTAGACGGACTGCTTTCTCGTAGCACATGATGTCGCGCGGTGAAGGCTTAACCAATCCATGCCAATGATAACGTCGAAACTTTTTATTGAGACTGGCATGAGGTCGATTGGGAATGAATGGTTATCTAGAGTTAGGGTACAACCTAAGTATATGCTACTCGTACTTTCAGTTTTTCCATTAGCCATTTCTACTGTGAATAGTTCTTTGAGTGCGTGCGGTGGTTGATTAAGCATGCGAGTAAATTTATGGTTTACGAAGCTTCGCTCCGCTCCACTATCGAATAGAATGCATGCATAGGAGTCATCGAGGAGGAACGTACCAGTCACCACTGTCGGGTCAGCAACTGCCTCCCGTGGCCTATCGCTAGTACCCTCCCTGCTCCGCCAGCATTTTTCGCCTTGGGGCAGTCCCTCTTATAGTGGCCTGTTTCGCCACATCCATAGCAGGTCGGGCTCGCGCCAGAGCCGGGGACTTGGGCGATCGGTCTCGCCGGAGATTTACAGAAACGGACTGTGTGTCCTCTCCTGTGGCAGTTAGAGCACTGCATTTCATGGCAGGGGCCATTGTGGTGGTAGTTGCATTTGTTGCACTTGGGCGAACTTCCAGCATACCCACCCACCGGAGTAGTAGTAGCAGCAGCAGGGGTTATTGCGGCATGTATTGCCACAATTTTGCTTTTTGGCAGCCTGTTGCTTCTTCTTTTCATCCCAGAATTTCCGCTTAGTATCAGCGGGTTTGGAGAGTTCCGGGATGGCTAGGGTGGTTGTGGTTGCAGGGGTTTTGACTCCATGGTCAATGAGTCGTTGTGCCAATCGTTTGGCACTGTCGAAGGTAGCGGGGTTTGATGCTAGAACATTCCCCTGATACGGAGGCACAAGCCCCCATATGTACCTTTCGATCTTTTTCCCTTCAGTGGGAACCATATTAGGGCAGAGGGCCACCAGTTCGCTGAATCTGGCGGTGTAAGCGACAATGTTGGTGCCCTTCATGGTCAGGCTCCAAAGCTCCTGCTCTAGTTTCTGAATCTCGCCCCTCGGGCAGTATTCCTCAATCATGAGGTCTTTCATCGTTTCCCAGCCTATGTCGTTGGCTACGACAAGAGTTAGAGATTTAACGTGGCCGTTCCACCACGTCAGGGCCTTTCCTTCAAAGGTGCATGCGGCATATTTCACTTTGCTCGCAGCAGGGCATGAACATATTTCGAAGACCGCTTCAGTCTTCTCGAACCATTGCGAGAGGCAATGACTCCGCCGGTCCCATGAAAGGACTTCGGCTTGCAGTTGGTGAAATCCTTGTAAGAGCACTCTCTCGAGCGCACAGGGGTTTCAACCGGGATTGATTCCACAGGGGTTCCACCTCTGCTGGCATCAGAAGAGTGATACTGAGCCATGGCAGTTGCCACTGCTGCAGCTACGGCAGCATTTAGGGCTGCAGTATCGATGACCGGAGGCGGAGGAGGTGGTGGTGCAGGATTATTCCTGGGAGATTTGCGAGGAGGCATCTTTCAGCTATAAGTTTATAAAGGTAAGAAAAATGGTAAGAATCATTTTGTAAGCAACGTGAGAGTGATACATGGACTAACTAACCATAGCCCAACAGTTGAATGAGTGTTTGAAATCACAACAAGAAATATTAGTAGGAAAACACAAGTGTATAGATTTTTCCCACAATTTAGATAGATTTCAATAATACTGGTATTACTGATGTAATAAGTTCAAGGAAAAATCGACCTAACAGTAGGTCTTACATCATACCATATAGAAAAGTTTGACAGTTCTTAGATTCCTAATTAGAGTACTGAAAGTTAGGAATATTTTACAGACAAGTGCTACTTAGAGCACAGATGTTAAAGGCTAATCCTTAACCCTAAAGATAATGATGTACTAGACATCATCTAACGGCGATGAATATTCCTCGGGAGAACCCTAAGGTCTCTCATTTGACGGACCACCTCTTGAAGGTGTTGCTCATGAGCACTTTGACGAGCTCGGAGTTCCATGACTTCAGCTTGAGAGGCAACCAGATGTTGCTGTAGGGTTTCATTGGTTCTC